GCAGATGAACATAATTTCTTGGGGGCGAGTCAGCATGATTTTTTTGTAAAGGAGAATCACCCCATCTACTAGAATTGTTTGAGGGAGTCAACAGGAATGTGGTCAAGGGGGATCCAGTGGATATAGTGTACTTAGATTTTCAGAAAGCTTTTGACAAGGTCCCTCACCAAAGGCTCTTAAGAAAGTAAGCTGTCATGGGATAGGAGAGAAGGTTCTCTCATGGATTGGTAACTGGTTAAAAGATAGGAAACAAAGGGTAGGAATAAATGGTCAGTTTTCAGAATGGAGAGAAGTAAATAGTGCTGTCTCCCAGGAGTCTGCACTGGGACCAGTCCTATTCAACATATTCATAAATGATCTGGAAAAAGGGGCAAACAGTGAGGTGGCAAAATTGGCAGATGATACAAAGCTACTCAAGATAGTTACGTCCCAAGCAGACTGCGAAGAGTTACATAAGGATCTCACAAAACTAAGTGACTGGGCAACAAAATGGCAGATGAAAATCAGTGTTGATAAATGCAAAGTAATGCACATTGGAAAACATAATCCCAACTATACATATAAAATGATGGAGTCTAAATTAGCTGTTACCACTTAAGAAAGAGATCTTTGAGTTATTGTGGAGAGTTCTCTGAAAACATCTACTCAAAGTGCAGCATCAATCAAAAAAGCTAATAGAATGTTGGGAATAATTAAGAAAGGGATAGATAAGACAGAAAATCTCATATTGCCTCTATATAAATCCATGGTACGCCCACATCTTGAATACTAAGTGCAGATGTGGCTGCCCCATCTCAAAGAAGATGTATTGGAATTGGAAAAGATACAGAAAAGGGCAACAAAAATTATTAGAGGTATGGAACGGCTGCCATATGAAGACAAATTAAAGGACTGACTTTTCAGCTTGGAAAAGAGATGACTAAAGGGGGATATGATAGTGGTTTATAAAATCATGATTGGTGTGGAGAAAGTCAATAAGGAAGTGTTATTTACTCCTTGTAACACATGAATTAGGGGGTCACCAAATGAAATTCATAGGCAGCAGGTTTAACAAGTTCTTCACAGAACACAGTCAAGCTGTGGAACTCTTTGCGAGAGGATGTTGTGAAGGCCAAGACTATAACAGAGTTCAAAAAAAGAACTAGGTAAGTTCATGACTATTAGCCAGGATGGGCAGGGATGATGTCCCTAGCCTCTGTTTGCCAAAGCTGGGAATGGGTGACAGGGTGGCGTGTGTGGATCAATGCTGATGATTACCTGTTCTGTCCATTCCCTCTGGGGCACCTGGTATTGGCCACTGTCGGAAGACATGATACTGGGCTAGATGGACCTTTGGTCTGACCCAGTATGGCCATTCTTATGTTATGTTCTTAATTCCTATTTAAGGGAGGTCAGAAAAATAACTTTCCTTCTTCCCTAATTAGGCAACTTTACTTGTTCCCTAATTCCCTTTTCCGAGATGGCTAGATCAGGGGTTCTTAGCCTTTTTCTTTCTGGGGCCCCCCTGACATGTTGTTAAAAACTCCACAGCCCACCTGTATCACAACAACATTTTTCTGCATATAAAAAGCTAGAGCTGGCATTAGGGGGTAGCAAGCAGGGCTGGTGCCCAAGACCCCACACCACAGGGTATCCTGCAAAGCTAAGTTGCTCAGGTTTCAATTTCAGCCCAAGGTGGCAGGGTTCAGGGCCCCGGGCTTCAGCCCTGGTATGGTAATTTCAGTGTTTTCTGTGTAAAATGGGCTAATGCCCTTTTTGGGTTAAGAGGTAACTCGACCTTGGTCTGTAAGTACCTACATGTGGAAAAGATTTCTGATAGCGTGCTCTTTAATCTAGCAAACAAAGGTATAATAATAAGATCCAGCAGCTTGAAACTAGACTAATTCAGACTAGAAATTAGGTGCAAATCTTGTAACAGTGAAGAGAATTAACCGAAGGAACAATGTGTGGAGGGTTGATTTGCTATCACTTGAAATCTTTAAATCAAAATGTCTTTCTAAGAAAAATGCTGTAGCTTACCCAGATTCTACAGCCTTTGTTATGCAGGAACTCTGACTAGATGAAAATAATGGTCCAGTCTGGCCTTAAAAATCTATTCGCATGTAAAGTTAGTCTACTCTGGAAACATGTTTAGTTTGCACAGTAAAGTACTCTAATCTTAGGAAATGCCAGCTTTACATTTGCCTGTGCAAGCTTAAATCTGCCCCCTTCTGCATATGCATTATGATAAAATTGTTTAATTACGTGATCACATACTGGTTTTTTTCCACAGGATCGTTGCCTCATTCTCTGTACAAGATGGATGGTGCTCAGGGAATAAGGCAGCTCTTCAGTATTTCCTTGAATCCTTGTTCAGTGGTTAGCCCAGTACCTTATTCACAGCATGCTACAGTGAAAATACAATTATTTATTTATTCATGGCTATTCTGTGGTCCTTACAAATCTGAGCCTCACAAACATTAGTGAATATTTCTTCTCAACTCCCTTGCGAGATAGCAGAGTATTTATTCTCATTTAACAGACTGGGACTTGAGACACAGGGAGACTTAAGGCCATAATTTGAAGTCTTTACTAATTTTGCATTCCTTGCTAATGATTTCCCAAGTTGGGACACCTAGGACCTTATTTTTCAGAATAGTTAGCATCTTCATAGGACTTCATATATACAAAGCACCATACAGACATTAACTCATTATGACAAAACACTTGAAATGTATGTGGGGACATTTTATATCTATTTTGTGGACTGGGGAAACTGTGATGGAGAGGCACAGTAACTTGTCCAGGACCCTCTGTTGCTTTTTACAGATTCAGACTAACACGGCTACCCCTCTGATACTTGTCCAGGACCATATAGTGAATCAGCAGAGGGGTGAGGTTAGGAGTCAGGACAGCCCCCTACCTGATACCCCTGTGGACATTTCTTCAGTCTTACTGCCAGAGCTGGGCATATTGAGTTTTCATTGCTTTCATAAGCAGTAGTGAATATGCAAACTTTATGTTGAGGTGTCTTGTCCATTATCACATAGGAAGTCTGGCAGAAGTAGGGATAGAACCAAATTCACCCAGGTGGCTGTTGCTAACTTGTTCTTCCTGCAATCCCCTACATTTAGAACAAGTGAGAAGGGATCTTTACAGACAACAGCTGCAGTCGCTACACAGCACTGATTAATTCCTTGAGTGCTGTCCATTCAGTTGCCTGAGTAAAGAAGGGATCCCATGGAAACAATATTTGATCATCTCATTAAAAGAATGTATTATCAATACACACATCAGGGCAGAATTATGATTGTATAGACAAACTTAATTCTAGTATTTCCTAAGTTTTGAGTGCTTAATGTAATTTTGTATTCAACTTCCTATACTTTAAAGAAAAATGGCACCTAACAGAACTTGCTTTTGCAACTTTAACAGCTCCAACTCTCATCATGCACCAGCAGCAGGATTTGTTGATCTGTAAATACTTAACACTACAGCACGGACCTATACCACAGCTAAAGGACTAAATAAGTTAGCTATCAGAGAAGATATATGGCCCAGCCATTGGAAAAGGACACAGTGCATTGAAACAGCAGGTTACATATTCAGAATTCTAGTTCCATTTTACAGACAGTATTGCCATAAAAAAATACTCATGCTGTCCCTCATCAAGTTTATTATGTATGTGACTGAGATTTGGATCTGGGTTCTATTCCCACATGTAGAGCCTGTTAAGGCTTTGCTCTATTTTCATAGAATCATAGATTATCAGGGTTGGAAGGGACTTCAGGAGGTCATCTAGCCTAACCCCCTGCTCAAAGCAGGACCAATCCCCAACTAAATCATCCCAGCCAGGGCTTTTGTCAAGCCTGACCTTAAAAACCTCTCAAGAAGATTATTCCACCACCTCCCTAGGTAACCATTCCAGTGCTTCACCACCCTCCTAGTGAAATAGTGTTTCCTAATATCCAACCTAAACCTCCCCCGCTGCAACTTGAGACCATTACTCCTTGTTTTGTCCTCTGGTACCAGTCTAGATCCATCCTCTTTGGAACCTCTTTTCAGGTAGTTGAAAGCAGCTATGAAATCCCCCCTCATTCTTCTCTTCTGCGGACTAAACAATCCCAGTTCCCTCAGCCTCTCCTCATAAGTCATGTGCTTCAGTCCCCTAATCATTTTTGTTGCCCTCCTCTGGACTCTTCCCATTTTTTCCACATCCTTCTTGTAGTGTGGGGCCCAAAACTGGACACAGTATTCCAGATGAGTCCTCATCTGTGTTGAATAGAGGGGAATGATCATGTCCCTCGATCTGTTGGCAATGCCCCTACTTATACAGACCAAAATGCCGTTCGCCACCTTGGCAACAAGGGCACACTTGTGACTCATATCTAGCTTTTCATTCACTATAACCCCTAGGTCCTTTTCTGCAGAACTGCTGCCTAGCCATTCGGTCCGTAGTCTGTAGCAATGCATGGGATTCTTCCGTCCTAAGTGCAGGACTCTGCACTTGTCCTTGTTGAACCTCATCAGATTTCTTTTGATTTCTTTTGGCCCAATCCTCTAATTTGTCTAGGTCCCTCTGTATGCTATCCCTACCCTCCAGCGTATCTACCACTCCTCCCAGTTTAGTGGCATCTGCAAACTTGCTGAGGGTGCAGTCCACACCATCCTCCAGATCATTAATGACGATATTGAACAAAACCAGCCCCAGGACCGACCCCTGGGGCACTCTGCTTGATACCGGCTGCCAACTAGACATGGAGCCATTGGTGATTACCAGTTGAGCCCGATGATCTATCCAGCTTTCTGTCCACCTTATAGTCCATTCATCTAGTCCATACTACTTTAACTTGTTGGTAAGAATACTGTGGGAGACCATATCAAAAGCTTTGCTAAAGTCAAGGAATAACACTTCCACTGCTTTCCCCTCATCTGCAGAGCCAGTTATCTCGTCGTAGAAGGCAATTAGGTTAGTCAGGCGTGACTTGCCCTTGGTGAATTCATACTGGCTGTTCGTGATCACTTTCCTCTCCTCTAGGTGCTTCAGAATTGATTCTTTGATTTTTCTCCATGATTTTTCCAGGGACATAGTGAAGCTAACTGGCCTGTAGTTCCCTAGATCATCGTCCTTCCCTTTTTTAAAGACTGGCTAGTCTTTTTCCAGTTATCCGGGACCTCCCTGGATCGCCATGAGTTTTCAAAGATAATGGCCAATGGCTCACATCCGCCAACTCCTTTAGCACCCTCGGATGCAGCGCATCCGGCCCCGTGGACTCGTTCAACTTTTCTAAAGAGTCCTGAACCACTTCTTTCTCCACAGAAGGCTGGTCACCTCCTCCCCATGCTGTGCTGCCCAATTTTAAAGATTAAGAACACAGAATTAACTCCATTAGTGAGCCTAGATCACGGGTGTTAAACTCATGCAGAGGCGAGGGCTAAATGTTTATTATCCATAGGCTACAGTTTAAATTCAGGATTGTCTACTCACGTTGCACAAGGGATGCCCGTTGTCAGAGATTTGCAGAGATCTTAGTTTTTCATTTACTACACAAAATATTTATTATTTCCAGCTCTCATATCTATGGTTCAGTGAGGAAAATTCTGCTCCCCTTTTGGCCATCACTATTTTGGGCCTTTGTTTCTCTTCTTTACCCACCCTCCTTTATCTGTTTTGCTCAGCCTTCCCTATCTTTGAGTCTTCTGTTCTCTCTGCAGCAACTTCCAATTCCAACCCAATGGGCTTCCCTCCCACCTCCTATTTCCATCTGCTAAAATGATCAGCAAGTCAATACTTAATGGTGACATTGTATTTTCATCATTGGGTTCTAGAGCTGACATTCCAATAAGATTAGTAGGGGAAGGATTAGGTTGCCCTTCTGTCATTGTTTCAAGCCGTCTGCAGACTCAGGCAGATATCACTGCATTGTTTATGCTTGTTTCATATTTGGAAGGTAACTTCTCTAGCCATAGGACTAAATGGGTTTTTTAATATGAAAGCTGACATTGTACACAGACCGGATATGTCCTGTGTGCCCAATCTGGCTTATGGTCTGTATGTTTGACCCTCCTCCCTCCATTTGGAAATCATGGTATCCTGGTTCCCTTCAGTGTCTCTTCCCAGAGGTCAAAGGGTGAGGTGGTTTCTGTCCCATCCAGAGTGTCTCCTGTGTGTGGACTGCTTAAGTTGGAAATTGGGATAATGCATGCATAATAGTGATGGAATAGTGAATAGGCTTTTGTCAGGAAGCCATAAGCAAGCTGTGCTGTTTGAAATGGAGATGGGCATTGACAATTTTAAACACTAACTCTGCTAAATTAGAACAGATTTTCATGAGGTCAGAAAAAGGAACCACTTCACCCCAGGAGTACCCTGCCAAATTTCAAAATGCTGCTGCAAACCATGGAGGCCTTTTATTTAAAGATGCAAGAATTCTTTTTATAACAGATTGTGATGGTCAATCTAATATAGGGAATACTGTCACTTCAACTTAACTTTTTTGTTGTTGTTTTCTGCTTTTTTTTACATTTGACATTTAGTTCCTGTGAAACTTTGTAGATTATATGATGAGTGGAGGACTAGTGAAATATCAGAAGAGCGCAGATAGTGAAAATTGATCAGTTAAGAGACAGAACTTGTAGTTACTATTTGTTTGCTCTTCTAATACCTTTTTCACTTTAGTGACTGTCATTTTGGAGAACAGATGCTTTGTTAAAGGACCATCTCCACCTCCCTCATATCCCTGCACTTCATTTAAAGTTGTATCTAATAATACAAGACACCTAGTAGGTTCTCCTGCAAAATAAGAGTAGATCAGGCTTTGTAATTTCTAAAATGAAATACAAGCTGAAGTAAACCTTTCAGGCCTCTTTATGCATAATAAAAAAAGTAAGGAATCAAAAAAAGTCCTATATTAAAAATGCTTGTTTGCAGATATATTAGTCTCATTAAATAATTTTACATTAATATGCCATTCATCATTCAAATTCCCAAAGTGCATTGCAAACTACATATGCAGCTCTCATTACCATTGGAATCGAGCCACTTCTAAAGTAGCACCCATGCTTCCATGTTGAACCAACCTTGGTGTTTCTTCGGGAAGAGGAGGCTGGCAAACTTCAGAGAGGGAAATGAAGGTAGTCAGAACACAGGAACTAATGCCTCTGTTTGCAAAAAGTTGTGTTTTGGAAGATTGTGGCATATGCTTGTATGATATGCTTACCTGTTAAATGTTTATCAGTCGTGACAAACCTAATTGATTGTAGGGCCTAGGGTGCACAATTTCTGGAAAGTTTGAAGGCATGGAAAAACCCATTATTTTATCTTTTTTCCAGGAAAAAAATGGAAATTTTGTTTAAAATAGAAATACACCTCTACCTCACTGTCCTCGGGAGCCCAAAAAACTTACTGTGTTACAGGTGAAACCGCGTTATATCGAACCTGCTTTGATCCACCAGAGTGCGCAGTCCCCCTCCCCGGGCGGAGCGCTGCTTTACCGCATTATAGCTGAATTCTGGCCCAATGTTTCTTCAGATATTTAACTCAAGTGGAACAGCTTCAACAGGACATATAGTCGTCATCTCCATGCCCCCCTTGCCTAGCTAGAAGTTCTTAGGAAAATCTGGCAGGATTAGAGCCCCAGGGGATGAGGGATTCTGGTTATGCCAACTTGGGTTCACCCATGTACATTCCTCAGTTCTTTTAGCCACGTTGAAGGAAATAAATCCCTCTGTTTTTCTCTAAGCCCAGACTGTTTGTATCAGCTATAAAGATCCGGTTTTTCACCCGGACCAGAATTGCTTAATCTGATTGTCGGGTTGCTAGGTCGTTAAATCTTTGTATTTCTCTTGGTAAGACACATTTATATTTGTAAATTCACAGAAACTTACCACTAGGTGGCCGGTTGTCTAAGCAGTATTAATAGTTTTAAAGGTTTTGGAGAGCCTAAAGAAATGCGTGTCTTTCTTGTCCCTCTCTCCTCCACCTCTGCACTAAAGGAAGTTTGGGGGCTGGTGACTTTTATACCCTTTGTACAAGTTTCCAAAGAAGGGTTTGATCTCTTACCAGAATTTTGGTAATTCAGGTAATCCAGGTTTGATTTATCCTCAACAGAATCAAAACAACTGCATATAATGGGGCACAAGGCCTATTCCTCTGCATACCAGACTCTGAATGTCCCCAATTACTGAGTGCTCATGAACCTTTTAACTTCTTTGTGGATAAGGGCTGCTTCCTGGGCCATACTCATTCTGGGCGGAGAACGGGGAAGAAAGTTAGTGAATCCTTCTTGGAGTAGGTTAGGAGATGGTGTCAGGGCATATGCTGGGTGCATCATATGAAGGACCAAACTGTATCCAGCTCCTTTGCTTTGGCCATGGCTTTTATGAAGACCCGTTTGGGTTAGGAATTTGGATTTGTTCTTCATGGCCCATGCAAAGGCTTTTGATCTCCCTTTCAAAGGTTTTCAGGCCAAAGATGGATGGGTTCTGGAGGAAACTGAAAACAGAGTAAAGTTGTTTTTTTATAGCAGTTATTCACAAGCACATTCTGAAAATCAGTCTCTCTTCTATCAGAGAACAAAATGTCGTAACTCCCTTTAGCAGTGTGTGTCGGGCAGAACTGCATCCAGGCAACAGATTTGAAGGTAAAAGAACCTGTAGCAGGATTGATAAAACCAGTTCTTTCTGTTTAATTTGTCCCAACTTATTTTGGCATGACATGTAATTTCTTCTTATGCCTGGGTCCTGGAAATAATGAAATGGGGATAATGCCTGTAATGGTACATGCTTTGACACCTCTTGGCTTTCTGTGCAGATTATTAACTGGACAGATGGGGAGAAGGTTATTAACCTCTGTCGGGAGACCGTTTGTAGGACAGGTTCAATGTTAAGACAATATTCACTTTTCACCTAATTGTGCTAAAAAGCACGATAGTTGATCCCATTGGAAAAGTACAGGCCACCATTAGTGGCTAATAAAACTTTTAGTGGCACGCTAGTTATTTGTCATGTGGGATCAACTCTGGCCGTAAGTTTATTTCTCACAACTGGCAAATGTGAGGTCATAATTATAATAATTAATAATTATAATTAATGGAGATATCCCATCTCCTAGAACTGGAAGGGACCTTGAAAGGTCATCGAGTCCAGCCCCCTGCCTTCACTAGCAGGACCAAGTACTGATTTTGCCCCAGATCCCCAAGTGGCCCCCTCAGGGATTGAACCGACAACCCTGGGTTTAGCAGGCCAATGCTCAAACCACTGAGCTATCGCTCCCTCCCCCCGCCCCCACTCAAGAACAGACAGGGACCTGCGTTGTGTATTGAATGCCATTCTTTTGAATTGGAGGAAAGATCTCTCCTACGTGCCTTTGTAAGTTTCTTTTGGCCCCCTAAGACTCTGAAGAAAATTTGCTAGGACAGAACCAAGTTGATGCTGATCATGCTAGCCTGGGGATAGCAGGCTTGATTGTCAGTATTGATATGTAATAATAGATAAAGTGCAGCAAATGGGTGACAATACCATATCCGTGAACAGCTGACAAATCTTATTGCAAGTTGGCTGAAGTGATGTAAAGTGCAGGAGCCCCACAACAGTTGCAGGTATGTGCACTAACTAAGGTTGCAAAACAGTTTCACTTAACATTTCTCTTGTTGACACAACAGTGTTAGCGAAACTTTGCCCAAGATCACACAGCAAGTTTATGGCAGGGCTGACCCCCAATAGTGGTCTCTGTCCACAAGACCCAGTGTTTTGGAGGGCAGAATGCCTTGCATAGTTATGTATCTATAGTGGTCAGAAATACTAAGGCATATTGGATGATTCTACTTAGAAGTGAATATAGAAATATTTTAAGATGCCTTTTTTAAAAGCTTAGAAATCAACTGTTCGGTCAGAGTTAAAGCCATTCTTTAATCAAAAGCGAAATTAATTTGTAGAACCTCTCTCTCACACAAGCTACAAAAACTACATATTATAATCATAGTTTGGTAATACTGCCACTAGTTAAAGTAGTCAAATGTTTGTTTGAAGACCCCGTTTTTAGTTGCTTATAATTTCAGCTCTTTGGATCAAAATGTTCCATACTAGATGAAGTTTCAACAAAACGGTTAAGCTATTTCTGAGAAAGGAAAAACAATATATTTTTCTGTGACCCCATGTTAAATTCTTACAATGGATTAATTAAAAAACAAGAGTCCCTCCATGCTTTCAAGTAGGGATTTGAAGTTTGACCGAGGGGGGGAGGGGGGTCACCTTACTGATTAGGAAAATGCCTTTTCTATCCAGGTGACAATCTGCCCAACTTTGGCTAAATTGTAAGCCTCTGAAAATCTCAGTGCACACATCCTTAGCAGAGGTTTGTTAGGGACTGGCAGCATTAGTTTCCAAGGATTCTGTCTGCACTGAGCATGTGCCATACCAACACAATTTCTGCATGCAGACTGGACTGAACATTCATCATCCTTACGGAGCAACTGAGCGTGTTCCAGCTTGAGGGGCTGCTCTGGTAACTGACCGCAAGGAGACAACGCTGCTATGGTTTGTGCTCCCCTAGCTGGTGACAGGTTGGTATGGAGAATGAGTAGATAGTCTGACTTGCTTGATTGTAGAGAGGTGAGGTGGGGAGGGTAACACTGGGGCAGGCTGGTGGTGGTGGCAATGGGAGCAGGGGTATGGAGACAGGATTGGACAGGCTGGGGATCAGGGAGATGGGGATGCATCAGCAGGAGACAGCAGAAGTCTAGCCACTAGAATACACTTCCCTGCAGAACCTAGATTTAGAACCCAGGACTCTTGAGTCCCAATAGTCCTCTGCTGTTGGCAGATAGCTGTGAAACCCAGTGGCAAAGTCTCTTATCCTCCTATTAGGATTTATGTTTATGATGCGGATAGACACCCCTGGCTGGCCTGTGGCACCTAGCTCAGGCTAAGGGGCTGTTTAATTGTGGTGTAGATGTTTGGGTTTGGGCTAGAGCCTGGGCTCTAGGACTCTGCGAGGTGGGAGGGTCCCAGAGCTCGGCCTGAACCTAGAGGTCTAAACAGCAATTAAACAACCCCTTAGCCCAATCCCCGCGATCCCGAATCTGTACGGGCCAGCGACAGGTGTCTAATTGCAGTGTAGACATAACCATAGTGACTGAAGTCCACATACAAGATAAGTCTGTTCCTGTTATCAGTTATCCTGTTAACTGGCTGGGTTGTGGCTCTAAAGGTACCAACCTTGATCTAGACTTGCATGGGAATCTGTGGTTCCATGTGATGGAATTTGTATTTTGCTTTTTTTAAAAGTAGGAAATTATATTCCTCCTCCCCCCCACCCCCCTGGATTTAAAAGATCTTTGATTGCAAAGTCAGGCAATCAAAAGCTAGAAAATGTCAGAATTAGATTTCTGTGCAACCTTAATTTGGCCCTCTTGTGCATAAGTGTTGTTGTGCAGTAGTTAATTTATGATTACATTCTCTTTTTCCACAGAATCCTTTCTCATTAAGTGCACAGGATGGATGGTGCTCGGGGAACGAATCAGGGTCATGTAGTGAATGAGGCTGTTTGTGGAACCTGTTGTGATAATTGAGCCTACAAATTTACCCTAATTGTAAGCTCAATTGTAAAAAGTATGTGCAAGTTCCTAAGTTGTTACAATAACCTGTAATAAATATTGATAGAAAATGCCTCGTTGCTTTCAATAATGCATGTTATAAACTGGTACAAGAAAACCAGACAGACGAAATTAGTTAACAGAAAAAGGCCATGTTGATAAAATTCAAGGATTATGTTGAAATCATGTTTGGTAAAAACGGAATATGTGGAACAAAAATTAATTAACCAAAATTGGTGTCGGATATTAGACCTAACTGATGGGCAAAATAATGAGGGGATGGGCTGTTCTATCCATCACTCCTTTGTTGGGTTCTTAAAGAGAGACTTTGGGGGGGGGGAAGGCAGAATGGTGAGGAACAGATGAAGACTACTGAAGTGAGCTTCATCATGGCTGCCACCTCCACCATCTCCTAGGACCCTGGACTTTTTTTGTCCCAATCCTAAGTGATGTCAGACCAGACTGGACCAGAGAGGAATCCAGATGACTTTGCTACCCCCTACCAGCTCCAACTGAATCCCAAACACCTGAGATGAAATGGGATTGGACTTTAAAAATAGCAACTCCAGCTCATCTCAGCTAACATCTCCAGCTTCTTCTCTTTTCCACAAAAGGACAGTTATTACCATCTTTGTTACTATCTAAGGCTATGTCTATAGTGGCACTTTTGTTGCTTAGGGGTGTGGGGAAAAAAGACCCATCTGAATGACCAAAGCTTTAGTGATGAAAAGCATTGGTGTGGACAGTGCTTTGTTGTCCGGAGCCACGCTCCCATTGACAAAGCTACTGCCCCTCGTTGGGGTGGTTTTATTTTGTTGTCGGTGATAAAGAGCAGCCACACAACTCACCTTACTGTTGTAAGGTGTGCTGTGTAGACATAGCCTAAGACTGTAAAACGGGGGTTTTCCTTCTAAAATCTCTCTCCAGCTAAAAGGGGAGAGAACAAGGGATATTTTTAAAATGAGAGGCTTATTTAATGCTACATTTTAAATGCTTTAACTATTTTTTTTTTTTAATAAAAGGTTTAAAGGATTTTAATGCTATGTTTACTATGCCCTGGTCTACACTATGAGTTTAGGTCAAATTTAGCAGCGTTAGATCGATTTAACCCTGCATCCATCCACACAACGAAGCCTTTTTTGTCGACTTAAAGGGGTCTTAAAATCGAATTCTGTACTCCTCCCCAACTAGGGGATTAGCGCTGAAATCGACATCGCCGGGTTGAATTTGGGGGTAGTGTGGACAGAATTCAATGGTATTGGCCTCCGGGAGCTATCCCAGAGTGCTCCATTGTGACCGTTCTGGACAGCACTCTCAACTCAGATGCACTGGCCAGGTAGACAGGAAAAGCCCCGTGAACTTTTGAATTTTATTTTCCTGTTTGCCCAGAGTGGCAAGCTGATCAGCACAGGTGACCATGCAGAGCTCATCAGCAGAAATGACTATGGAGTCCCAGAATCGCAAAAGAGCTCCAGCATGGACTGAACAGGAGGTACGGGATCTGATCGCTGTATGGGAAGATGAATCCGTGCTATCAGAACTCTGTTCCAAAAGACGAAATGCCAAAATATTTGAAAAAAATCTCCAAGGGCATGAAGAAAACAGAGACCCGCAGCAATGCCACATGAAACTTAAGGAGCTCAGGCAAGCCTACCAAAGACGCAAACGACCGCTCTGGGTCAGACCCCCCAGACATGCCGCTTCTATCATGAGCTGCATGCAATTCTAGGGTGTGCCTCTACAACTACCCCACCCTTGTACGTGGACTCCTGCAAGGGAGTATCATGCAACAAGGATGAGGATTTTGGGGATGAGGAAGATGATGATGATAGCGCACAGCAGGCAAGTGGAGAAACCGTTCTCCCCGACAGCCAGGAACTGTTTATCACCCTGGAGACATTACCCTCCCAACCCAGGCTCCCGGACCTTGAAGGCGGAGAAGACCACTCTGGTGAGTGTACCTTTATAAATATAATACATGGTTTAAAAGCAAGCGTGTTTAATAATAAATTTGCCCTGAAGACTTGGGATGTGTTCGCGGCCAGTAAAGCTACTGGAATGCAGTCAAGTAACATCCGTTCTTTATCTCTCTCTGTGATCCTCAGGAGAGTGATATCATTCACGGTCACCTGAAAATAGGGGAATATTATTAAGGGGACATTCAGAGGTGGCTGTTCCTGCTGGGCTGTGTGCCTATGGCTGAAAAGATCATCCCTGCTGTTAGCCATGCGGTAGGGGGAGGGGTGAAGCAATCATCCCAGAGAATTGGGAGTGAGTTGGGTTTGTGCTGCATGTTAACCTAAAAAACCTTAGCCCCTCCTTTTAAATGGCCAACCCATTTTAAATGGTTAACCCAACTCTCCCTTTTTTCCTCCCGCAGCTGAAAATGTTTCAATGCCAACATTAACATCTCCGTCCCAGAGGCTAGTGCAGATGAAAAGGCAAAAAAAACACACTAGCGATGAAATGTTCTCTGAGCTCATGCAGTCCTCCCGCACTGAAAGAGCCCAGCAGAATGCGTGGAGGCAAACAGTGTCAGAGTCCAGGAAAGCACAAAATGAACGTGAGGACAGGAGGGATGCGCGAGATGAGAGGTGGCAGGATCAAGAGAAGAGGTGGCGGGAGCAAGAGGAGCGGTGGCAGCAGCGTAATGAGAGGAGGCTACTGGAGGATCAAACTGATATGCTTCAGCATATTGTTGAGGTGCAGGAAAGGCAGCAGGAGCACAGACCACCGCTGCAGCCCCTGTGTAACCAACTTCCCTCCTCCCCAAGTTCCATAGCCTCCTCACCCAGATGCCCAAGAACGTGGTAGGGGGAATCTCCGGCCACCCAACCACTCCACCCCAGAGTCCTGGCCAAGCAACAGAAAGCTGGCATTCAATAAGTTTTGAAGTGCAGTGTGGTCTTGTCCTTCCTTCCTCCCCTCTTCTGCCACCCCACCCGGTGCTACCTTGGGAGTTATCCCCCCATTTGTGTGACGAATTAATAAAGAATCCATGAGTTTGAAACAACAATGACTTTATTGCCTCTGCAAGCTGAGATCAAAGGGGGAAGAGAGGGCGGTTGGCTTACAGGGAAGTAGAGTGAACCAAGGGGGTGGGTTTTCATCAAGGAGAAACAAACAGAACTTTCACATGGTAGCCTGGCCAGTCATGAAACTGGTTTTCAAAGCTTCTCTGATGCACAGCGCGCCCTGCTGTGCTCTTCTAACTGCGCTGGTGTCTGGCTGCGTGTAATCAGCGGCCAGGCGATTTGCCTCAACCTCTAACCCCGCCATAAACTTCTCCCCCTTACTCTCTCAGATATTGTGGAGCACACAGCAAACAGTAATAACGATGGGAATATTGGTTTTGCTGAGGTCTAACCAAGTCAGTAAACTGCACCAGTGCGCTTTTAAACGTCCAAATGCACATTCTACCACCATTCTGCACTTGCTCAGCCTATAGTTGAACAGCTCCTGACTACTGTCGAGGGTGCCTGTGTACGGCTTCATGAGCCATGGCATTAAGGGGTAGGCTGGGTCCCCAAGGATAACTATAGGCATGTCAACATCCCCAACGGTTATTTTCTGGTCTGGAAAGTAAGCCCCTTGCTGCAGCCATTCACACAGACCAGAGTTCCTAAAGATGCCAGTGTCATGTACCTTTCCCGGCCATCCCACGTTGATGTTGGTGAAACGTCACTTGTGATCCACCAGCTTGCAGCACCATTGAAAAGTACCCCTTTCGTGGTCCGGTCCCAAGATAGGGATATGCGTTCCGTCTATCGCCCTACCACAGTTAGGGAATCCCATTGCAGCAAAGCCATCCACTGTGACCTGCACATTTCCCAGAGTCACTACCCTTGATAGCAGCAGCTCAGTGATTGCATTGGCTATTTGGATCACAGCACCCCCACAGTAGATTTGCCCACTCCAAATTGATTCCTGACTGACCGGTAGCTGTCTGGTGTTGCAAGCTTCCAGAGGGCTATTGCCACTCGTTTGTGAACTGTGATGGCTGCTCTCATCTTGGTATTCTTGCGCTTCAGGGAGGGAGAAAGCAAGTCACAAAGTTCCATGAAAGTGCCCTTACACGTGTGAAAGTTTCGCAGCCACTGGGAATCATCCCAGACCTGCACACTATGCGGTCCCACCAGTCTGTGCTTATTTCCCGGGCCCAGAATCGGCGTTCTACGGCATGAACCTGCCCCATTACCACCATGATGTCCAAATTGCCAGGGCCCGTGCTTTGAGAGAAATTTGTGTCCATGTCCTCATCACTCCTGTCGCCACGCTGCCGTTGCCTACTTGCCTGCTTTTGCAGGTTCTGGTGCTACATATACTGCAGGATAATACGCGAGGTGTTTACAGTGCTCATAACCGCCACGGAGATCTGAGCAGGCTCCATGCTTGCCGTGGTATGGCGTCTGCAGGAGAGCAGAGTGGCAGCGGAAGCGTGACGATGGTTTGCAGCCCTATTGTACTGTCTGCTGCCAGCAGCACCCAGGACACAACAGCGGTGGCTGAGCTGAGCGGGCTGCACGCTTGCCATGGTATGGCATCTGTGCGGAAAAAAGGCACAAAATGATTGTCTGCCGTTGCTCTCACGGACGGAGGGGCGACTGAGGACATGTACCCAAAACCACCCCCGATAATGTTTTTGCCACATCAGGCAGTGGGAGCTCAACCCAGTATTCCAATGGGTGGCGGAGACTGCGGGAACTGTGGGATAGCTACCCGCAGTGCAACACTCTGAAAGTTGATGCTAGCCTCGGTACTGTGGACACACTCCGCCAAGTTAATGCGACTTAATGCGTTTAGTGGGGACACATACAATCAACTGTATGAAATTGCTTCCTAAAAATCGACTTCTATAAATTTGACCTAATTTCATAGTGTAGGCATACCCTATGGTATTAAGCAGGCTGAGGTCTCTGTATATCAGCTGTTCTCAAACTATGGGGAGGGCCTCCCAAGGGAGGCACGAACTTTGTGGTTTTTTTTTTTTTTTTTTAAGAGCTCTGGGTGTCTGGGGCTCATGCAGAAGGGATGTGCACGCCTGTTAGGTTGGGATAAAGAGGACAGCTGGAGCATCGCTACCTGGGCTTGGGTTCTTCGCCCCCCCCCCAATCCGGCACTGGAAAGTAGCGGGGCTCCAGCTGTCAGCCCCGAGATGGCCGTAGTAGTGCAAAAGTAAAAGTGGCAATAGGGCACTAAGTCTGCTGCAAAACGTGATATTGATCAATATCACTTTTAACATTGCCACCCTCCTGTGTTGCTGCTGGTGCAGTGCTCCTTCAGAGCTGGGTGCTGGTATCTGTACTGGCAGTTAGGGGCGTAAACTACTACAGACACAAAAGGCGGTCCCAATCAAATAAGTTTGAGAACCACTGCTAACCCTACCTCATTTAATGCAGTAATTGAAAGTTGTTCAAAAATAACTAACCACTAGATGTTACAAGTTGGGCAGCCAAAATTAGTGCCTTCTCTTGGATACTCATCTGTAAAACTGGGATAATATCCTCTTTTCTAAGAGGTGTTGTAAAGATAATTTCACATACTTTTAAAGCATTCACACTCCTGTATTATATTCTGTGTAGGGTTTAAATGGTGTTCAGTAAGTAAAGCATGTAGCCATACCATGTCATAGAATGACAAGGCTACAAAGAAATATTGAATACCTAGCTGTTCAGTGGACACTGTCC